AACTTCTGATCGTCTTCCCTCCAACCTCCCCGTGTTGGTAGATGATGATGCCATCCTTCCAGCTGTTTAGGCCAAAAGCTCTGACTCCTCTTTCTCTCACACCTCACATCCACCCTGCCTGGAAATCCTGTTGGTTCTACCTTCAACATATATGCCAATTCCTGAAGCTTCCTACTGGACTCCTTGCTCTCATCTTTGCTACTTCCAGTTTATTCTCAAGTAGTCGGAGTGAGCTCTTTAAATGTCAGGCTGATCGGGTTTCTTCTCAGAATGCTGCAATGATGCCCCCTCAATTTCACTCAGAGTAAAAGCTAAAGTTTTTACAATGGCCTGCAAGAGCCTATGGGATCTGACACCTTTTCATTCTTCTCTTATCTCTCCAGCCACATTTCCTGTTACTCGCCCTGCTCACTTACCTAGAGCCACATGGGGCTCTGTGTTCCTCCACTATACCAGGCTTCCCCTCGCCTGGGCACTGGCTGTTCCCTCTGCTTGCAAGACTGTTCCCTCAGAGAGTCTCTCTACCCCTTCAAACCGTTGCACAAATCTTTTTAGTGAGGCCAAGCCTTACCGACTTCCACAATATCACCACTTTACCTCACTCTACTTTGTGTTACTAATATCTGTATTTTACTTATTTATTACGCTCGCTGAATTATCTGTCTCCCCACCAGAATATAAGCTCCACAAATGCAGAGATCTTTGTCTCTTCTGTTCCCTGACATGTCCCAAGCACCTAGAATAGTGCTTGACAAAAACTTTTGGAATGATTGAATTGTATTTAGAGTGGAAATCTAAGTAATATAGAAAACTTAGCAGTTCCTAAGTTCCATATTCTTTAGTACACTTAAAAGTTACAGTTATCCGCTGACAAATTTTGGTCACTTTATTAATGACTAAGATACCACTATATTCATGCTACGTATCTTTAATCATTTATAATCCACTTTATTTTAATTTCAAGTTAAAATAAGTTGTCTTTACAACATAGGAGACTCTATGACCATGGCTAGAGTCAGTAGAGATTCTGATTCCAGTGTCCGAAGTGCGTATTCCCAAGTGCTAATTCCCAGGTTGACATCTTTGCAAATGCATGCACATGCTTTCTAAATGTTTTTAAAAAATCAGCCTAATCAGAATAATGATTATTTCTACTGAGATAAAAGAGGAAATGCTATCGGGAGAAAGCCAGAAGATCTATTGATAATATTTTACTTCTTAAGCTGAGTGATAGGTATACAGATGTTGGCTTTAGTATTATTTATTATGATTTGCGTATATGTGGTACATCACATTTTGCATGTATGAAATATTTTATAATAAAAAAGAAAAAATAAAGCTAATCTAGTGTTTACTTATTCTAGTACCACTCTTTATTTTCTCTCGTTTGATATGATATAAATCTTCTAACCAGTTTGTGGAAACATAATTGCTGTGTAATTTAGCATTTGTCCCCCTTCCCAGCCCCTAACCATCTCACCGATGAGTCTGTGACATCAGATAAAATCAGAAAGATCCTCAGCAGAATCAGAAAAAAAAATATTATACTCGCTGTTTTGTTGATTTAATCAAATTTGCAAGCTATCAAAAGGGATCAGAATATGATAAAGATAAAAATAAAAAAATAAAATAAAAATGAAAATACATGATTGTTGCTAAAGAAGATTATTTTTTGAAAAGACACATATGAAGATAATAACTTCACAACTGATTATACTATTTTATCTTTCCACTAACCAAACAAAAATACTGACAAGGCAGGTTCCTTGCTTGGTTACCTTCCTTACATCTTCCCTTCCCTGATCCCAGGATGGAATAAGGATCTGATATGTCTCACCTACTCGACTAGAAGTTCACTGAGCCCTTGACCTTGGTACAGCAGCTTGAGCACTGGTATCAGACTAGCTCAGTTGAAAGGTCAGCCGTACTTCTCACTCCCTGTGTAAGCTTTTTAACCTCTCTGTGCCTTCATGTCCTCAATGATAAAAGGGGAATAATAATAACATAAACCCAGGATGTGCAGATTAGTGAAACAACACATCCAAATTAGCACAGGGTCTGTCATAGAATATAAGCCAAATGAATATAATTATTATTATTTATGATTATCATTTAGTGATAAAGAGAAAATTGAGTTGACGAAGAAGATAGAAAATAGTTCTTATGAGTCTTAATGACTCAAATGCATAGTCAATGTTCAGGAAATGTTTGGAAACTGAGTCATGAGAAAGCATGGTGCCTTGGAGTGGTGTGATATCTCTGCCTGCTCATGCCTCAGGGCTGATCCCAAAGGGGCCAGCTGGGTCTCAGAGGCTTGCGACATTTTGATGGAACAACCCGAAGCGGAACTGATAAAGTATTCGTATACTTAGCAAACACTTGGAATCCTAACTATGGTGCCAGGAATTTGGCTATGCAACAGGGATGCGGTGGTGGCAGGTCACATCCTCTAGTCCTTAGAAGCTGTCCTCATGTCCTGCCTTGTCATACCTCATGTATAATCTAGTCCCCTAAACTGTTTCGAGGTCATTTGACACCATCTCTTAGTGCCGATATTCTCTCTTCTTAAGAGAAATCTAATGGTTACTTTTCTGAATATATAGCAGTTTCTTCTCCAAGTCATGTTTCTCGTGGTAATTATAACTCTAATACACATAAACATTACCACACAGCCAGTATACCAATCTAATACTTTCATCCTAGTATTTCTTATGTACTTAAGTTTATAACAAATGCTTAAACTTTAAGTTACTTGTCAGTTAGTAAGACAGGACTGATATAAAATATACACATATTTTCATACTGAAATATTAATTTTGTTAATGAGAATTATTTTATTTTGAAGAAGGAATTACTAAGATTGTTCTATTGTCTATAAAATAAACTCATAAAGTTCTATAAAATTGAAAAAATTTTGGTGCGATAGACTATAAAATGCAAATTTAATTTATTATAATGTGCGGAATCACTAAAAGGTTTTAGGTATAAAAATAATTAAGACAAGATCAAAGAGGATAGAAGTAAATGGAAATAATACTTTTTGAAAGGAGAATAGTTTAAAGAAATTCAAAATGGCAATATCAAATGCAGTCATTTATGGCAATGAATTTATAAATATTTCATTCCAGTAATAATATGCAAATATCTAGAACTTTTAATTTGTAAGTGAGAAAAGGCAAAAAAAAAGTGGGTAATTAGCATACATTCTTAGGATATAAAATTACAAAACATACCATAGCAAGTAATGTATTTAAGATTTAAAGTAACTAGATCATAAAGTAATCCATATTACAAAATTATATTTCTTGAGAAATAATGATTACAAAATTTTTAAATCTAATATTGGCCTGCTTAAGCTTGGGCACATCTCAGTTTTTCAATAGAATGGAAATTTGCCATCTTACATATAGGCCAGAAATTGACTGTTTTTAGATGCATTTCTCAGGAAAAAAAGCTTCAAAGGTGTTGCTGTTTCAGAATCTAACAAAATCTTTTATCATTATTATTCTTTTCCATTCTCTTTTGTTAGTGGGGAGCAATTTTAACTTTGCCAGCATTTCAGACAGGACAAATTCAAAGAAATATAGCAATTCCTCAATTGCTATTTTAATGACAGACATATGTAATCCAGTAATCTCACTTTATTGATACATTTTCTGAGGTCCACAGAGGTTAAAGCAACTTAATCAAGGTCATCCTTGTTCTAATTAAAGACAGATATGGAGCTAGAACCCAAGGCTCTCATCTACCCAGAGAAGACACAGATATTAATAATATTGTGAAAATTATTAAGCACTAGTAGTCTGAAAATGACATCAAATTTCTTAGACCTTTCACAACCCATTAATCAGACAGGAAGTATCATCTGGAAAACATGACAGGAGGTTTCTTAGTAAGCCTCCGTTAATTTTGCCAGCCGGCATTTCTGTAAGATTGCCCATGTGCCATGCCAGTATTTCAGTGAGGCTGGAGAAAAAATTGCCACTGGAGATTTATTCAAAGAGACAAAGGCTCTCTTTTTAAAATTTCTGTTCAAAGGCCCATCATTTAAAATTAGTAGTGTAGCAAGTACCCTTGCCTTTGTTTAAACTACCTTATACCACCAAAAATAATATCCTGAGGACTGATAAAGTCATGTGCTTTTCCTTCTATATTATTTCCCTATTTTTCCACTTCTCTTTTCTCTAATCATCACATTAAAAGTCTTTTTTTGAATGGCTTTGCTGTGAATTGCTAGGAGACGACACGTTTAGGGCTCCACAGGGTATGAATGATAAGAAATACCTCCCCAGAAGGAAAATAAGAGATACACTGGGCAAAGTCTTCAGCGGCTCCCCCTTCCCCCCGCGCTAAGGCATCCTGCTTTGTGCCCTTCGCGCTAAAAAACGGCACTCTGGACGTTAATTTCCAAGTCAAATCACAAAACCAGTGCCTGGTGTCCAAATCTTTCCTCTATCTTATTTTAAAACGAAAAGGGCAATAATAACTGTTCGGAGGAAAAGTTATTTTTAAAAAGAAGAAGCAGCTGTCTGGAAGTTTTAAAAGAAGGAAACACTCTAAAGATGCATCGGAGACACTCAAATTCTCCCAGGCCGTGCATTTAATCCACAGCGCCCTAAAACGTCCCAGGAATCCCTTCAGAGTTGCTCAGGCTCCCGAACCTGTTGGACAGACAACGGTTCATACCAGGGCCCCTGTGAACTTGTAGCAACAATTTTGGGGGCAGGAAACCAGTCAAATCTGATGAAACAAGAGCGCGGGGAAGGCGAGTCCAAGCCCCCGACACCCCGTAGAGGTGGGTCAACTACAGCGACCCGCGATGAGGACCCCGGGGACCTGCTCCCCTCGGGGGCCAGCCGGGGAGGAGGGGCGCGAGTTCATCGGGAAACGCGGGGTCTGGCCTTGCACCCCAAGGTGCTTGACACGGGGTCCCGCGACAGCCCCGAGGTCCCGGCTGCAGCTCCCCGCGCTCCCGGCCCGGCCCGGCCCGCGCCGCTTACCTCGACGGCCTTGCGGGGACTTGGCGGGGGCGCGGTTCGGCGACGGGGCACCAGCCAAGAAGGCGACGCGGTGCTCCGGGCTGCGCGCGGCTCAGGTCGGTGGCCTCGAGGAGGAAGTGGTGTCAGCCCTGCCCTTCCCCCGCCGCGCGCAGACGTGGGGCGCTCGCCGCGCTGCTTTGCATCCGAGGTGCAAGAGGGGCGCCTGGTCGGAGACACGAGGAGAAACGCTCACGGGGAACGCCTCCGAGAGCCCCGCGCCGCTCTGTCCCACTCATCGGTTTGTGCCTCATTTCCCCTTACTTCCCCCCTCTACACCACAGCCTTGAAGAAGAAAAAAAATATATTTTTTTAATTCTGGGAAAAGTGTGCCTTCCAGTCTCACCCCTCCCTTATCTGCGCCGCGCCCCCCCTTCTCTCCGGAGCGACCCTTCTTTGTCGCCCCGATATATTAGTGGCTGTGGGATTTGGGGCCAGGCGATGGGTCCACAAAAGCACTAGAACCCAGTGTCTTTCAAAAACAGTCTTCCTAAGCGTTTACTTCAGCCCTTTCTGTGCTTCCTCCTTCGGGCGGGTTGTGCAAGGCCCGCTTTCCGGCCGCGCGCAGCCCACCCGCAGGGGACGCGACGCGGGAGTGGCGCGCGCGCGGGTCCGCGGGGTCCGCGCCGATGCCCTGAGTTCGCGGGGCTCTGCTAGAACCCGGGAGAGGGCGGGGGTGCTGGAGGAGGGGTGGGGGAAAGGCGCGCTCAGCGGAGGTCGTTTCTCATCCACCCGAGTGACAAAGCCCCCGAAGCTTAACCACACTCAGTGGGCGGGCGAGGCTGTGGCCTCTCACACAGTGGTGCTGGAAATCCAAAATAGTATGATTCCTGAGGGTGGGGAGTGCCGCTTCGGCCACAGCTATTTAATTTACATATGCAATTACCCTTTGACCCAGAGATCCTACTTCTAAGAAAGTATGACAAAGACGCAGTGATGGCAAAAAGTAATGAATGCCATAGGCACCAGGTCATTCTTGGCAGCCTGATTTTGTGACACCCAAAGACTGACTGGAAATAGACCCAGTCAGTGACTGTTGCGAGTGGAGTCTCCTGAGAGAAAGTGGGGAAATACAGAAGTTAAAATCAGTTACGATTTGTAAATGTGGTTGAACCAACCTCCTCTTCCCCTATGCAACTGCTTTCAGATGTTTATATCTGGGGAGGTGGTGGAGACGTAAAGATAGAAATTAAACATATAAATTAGGTAATTCCAGATAGTTCAGTCATTTATTTAACGAGAAACTATAATAAATGAGAAACTCTAAGAACAATGAAAACAAGTAGTGAAGGAAATAATTCCATTTCCCATGGATGGTACCTTCTAGTTGGGAGAAAACGAACAAACAATAAATATTTAATATGTCAAGTAATGTATTTTACGGGAAATTTAAAAGCGAGAGAGAGAGAGAGAGAGAGATGGGAGTGGGGGTGTGGGGGTGGAGTCGCTGCGCTAATTAGGGTCATCGACGAAGATCTATCTGATCTGTGACACCTCAGCCAGACCTAAATGCATATGAATTTTGGGGTGAGAATATTCCAGGCTGAAGGAAGAGCAGCACAGTGAAAGGTCCTGAGTTAGGAGGGCACTTGAGATGTTGGAAAAACAGGAAGGAAGGGACCATTTTGGTTATGGATTACTGTGAGCCACGGGAGGCCATTAGAAAGCTCTGAACAGACAGAACGTCGAGTCAAGCAATGAAGTGACTTTTATGGGAAAGGAAATGATGTCAGGAAACACCTCTTTGCAGAGTAACAACAAGGGGCAACCATTCAGGGACTCAGAAAAGCATTCCAAGAGAGGGAAGAGCAAGAAATGGTCTCGAGATAGGAACGTAGAAGATTAGGAAGAAGGCAATGTGACTGGCCTATAGCGAAAGAGCAGGGCGGTGGTAGAGGATGGTGACAGAGAGAGAGGCAAGGACCAGATCAAGCAGGGCCTTAGGGTCAGCCTTGAGGACTTTGGGTTTTATTTTAATTACAATGGGGAATTATCGGAAGGTTTTTAGTCAGTACATGATTTAAATTCTATATGCCATCATGCTGGTTGGTGATTGAAAAATCGATTGAAAGAGGCAAGAGAAAAAAAGTAGAGATTACTTAGTAAACTGAGGCCATAGTGTTGTAGCCGCCAGGCCCCGAAAGAACACGGACCACCAGAAACCAGTGAGTTACAGGAAACACACTCTTCATTCAGCCAGCTGGCTCTGCCAGGGGTACGCAGACCCCAAATTAAGCAGCCTGAAATGTAGAGGTACAGGGTTTTTACGCCCTAAATCCCATTCCTCATTCTGTCTTAACACAAAAGTCTATTTTTCTTCTGTTTACTAACTGTCAACCCACAGGTAGGTTGTGCAAGTGGGGGTACAGAAGCAGAAAGCTTATTGTTAGAATGTTATGTTCCCATGGGCGATAGTCAAGCAGTAATTTTCCAGCCAGCACAATAGTCCAGGCGAAAGATGATGATAGCTTTGATAAGGAGCCTTAACAGTGGAGATGGTGAAGAGTTTGGATTCAAGGTACAGTCTCAAAGTGGAACCAACAGCGATTGCTGCTGGGCTGGCCTAGGGTTGGGGAGTGGCAGAGGGGATTAGGAATCAAATGTAAACTGGTGTGACTGGAGTGTTAGGAAGTCCTGAGAGGCAAGGCTAGATAAAGAAAAGCCAGTAGTGACAAACTGTGGAACCATGTGAACCATGTCAAGGGTTGTTTACTCAGCCTAAATGCAAAGAGAGTGTGCGAAATAATATTTTAAGCTGGCAGGTGGTGGGATTTATGTTTTAGAAAAATCACTCTGGCTCTAGTTTGGGGAATTGATCAGGTGAGGAAAAGAATGGGTGCAGAAAGATTTCTGAGCTAGGCTGGGTGAGAGGTTACATTGGGTCGGACTTGGTTGGTGGCAGTGAGAATGGAAAGAAGTGGATGAACTTGAGAGATATTTATACGGTAGTGACGGGAGAGTGTGAGGGCTGAATATGGGCTGAGTGAGGAAGAGCGTAAGTGACTCCTAAGAATCGAGCTCGGATAATTGTGGAGGGCACTGCATTTCATTGAGATGAGGAATGCTAGAAGAGGCCTGTTTGGGGGAGAGAAAGAGGATGTTTTCTTTTGAGCAAGTTGAGTTTGATGCGCCTTTGAGACATCCAGTTGGAGACTTCTAGTAGAGATGGTGCGAGAGAGTGCCTTTAGCGTTAGAGATACACAGTTCGAATAATCTACCTACAGGTGGCCACCGATGAGATTGCTTAGGAACTTTAAGGATTGCCATCATTCTAAGTAGAGGAAGCTGAGCCTGCAAAGGAGACAGTAAGAGCTTTAAAGGGGTAGGAGGCAAACCTGGGGAAGGTAATATTGTGGAAGTCACAAGAATGGGAGGGAGTGATCAGCCACGTCCACATCTGGAGATGTTGAAAGGCATGTAAGATGAAGACTGAGGCCTGTCCGTCCAACTCTAGCACTGTTAGTGACCTCGGAGACCTATTTCAATAGCATGATGGGCTGGAGGCCAGACTGGATTGAGATGTGAACAGGGTGTAAAGAAATGAAGACAGTGAGCAAAATAATCCTTTTGAAAAGTTTGCCTGTCAAGAAGAGGAGAGGTATGGGGAGGCAGTGAATGTGGCATGTGAAATCGAGGAAGATTTTATTTATTTTTTTAAAATGGTTTTCAAATAGGAAGAATTCAGATAAGAGCGAAGAGTTGAATATTAGCGAACAGAGATAATTGATGGTGAAAAGTTCTTGAGACTGAGGAAGTGGATAGGGTCCAAAGCAGAAATAAATGAATGAGTCTTTAGATAAGATAAATGAGACCTTTTCTATTTTATCAGAGCAGATAAGGATTTTCTTTTTGAGAGCTGTAAAATAAGGAAGTTCTAATCTAAGGCTTCTATTATAAAGTAAGAAGAGAAGTGGGGGCATCTGCTAAAAGAGAGGTAGGATGTAGGCAGGTCATAGATTTGGGGAGCTGGGGAAAGTTTGACAAGGTCATTGCAGAGAATGGGAAAGTGAGTCTATCAGAAAAAAGTAATAGGATTTCCAGACAGCCTGGGGGTCTGTTTGAAATTGCTGATTATGATGGAGTGGTCTGCTCAGATCTATGACTTTCCTGCAGAGCTAGGTTACCTAGGTTTGAAGAATGGTTGGCCAAAATGGGAGTGGCCAAACTAGCCAACTGGAAAGATGGGTATTGTGGCCAGGAGGTAGGCAGAGTACATTTTGCTTCTGGAGGTAGCAAGATCATGGGTGCTTATATTGCCCAAGGTGTGACCGTGGGCCTGGATGGCTGAGGTAATCAAGAGAATGAGAAACCAAGGGGTTGTGTGTATCTTCCCAGGTAATTGTTCGAGTCATTCAGAATTAGGGTGGCCACATAACTTTTTGTTGAGTCTGGGTCATTTGAGAGCATGCAAATGTTCCAGACAAACAGAATGATGACAAAATTTAATATCACCTTAAAAAAAGATTAAGAGTCAGGTGTCAGGGTTTTGAGATGAGAGACCTTTTTTGAGTAAATGAGTTTTCTTCTCGTTTTTTTTGAAATGCGAATTTGTTTCTGGTAAAGACCCTGAAGTGGTATTGCTGGATCATTTGGCGGTTCTATTTAAATTTTTTGAGGAATCACCATACTGTTTTCCACAGTGTTCACACCAATTCACATTCTCAGCGACAGTGGACAAAGGTCCCCTTTTCTCCATGTCCTCAGTAACATTTGTTACATCTTGTCTTTTTGATAATAACCATTCCAGCAGGTGTGAGATGTTATATTATTGTTTCGATTTGCATTTCCCTGATGATTAATGACGTTGAGCATCTTTTCATATAACTGTTAGCCATCTGTATGTCTTTCTTTGAAAAAAATGTCTATTCTAATCTACTGCCCATTTTTAAACTGAATTTTTTGTTTTTTGTTTTGTTATTGAGTGTATGAGTTCTTTACATATTTTGAGTATTAACCCCTTATCAGATATATGATTTGCAAATATTTTCTCCCATTCAGTAGGTTGCCTTTTCATTTTGTTGTCGGTTTCCTTTGCTGTGCAGAGGTTTTTAGTTTGATGTAATTCCACTAACTGATTTTTGCTTTTGTTGTTTTTGCTTTTGGTGT